AGGAAGACAGCGAGGATCTTGACCCTGAGGTAAAGAAAGAGAAGGTTGTTGGGGCAGTGGTGACTACAGAAAACGTGGATGCCATTGACAGGTTATTGAAGCAATACTCGTCTTGGACAGCATTAAAGCGGTCGGTTGCGTGGATCTTGAGGGTAAAGTCCACACTGTTGGCACGTGTCCGAGGACGAATGAATGGAGGTGACCAAGCAGTAGGTGTCGATACGTCCCTATTGACTGTGAATAACATACAGAGAGCAGAATCGCCCATCCTGAGCTACGACCAGTGCACGTTTTATGCCCAGGAGATTAAAGTCCTAAACGGGGGAGACCTACACGAGTGTCGTGGTCAAGTAAAAATCCGTAAACTGGACCCAATTCTTGACGGAGATTTGTTGCGTGTTGGGGCAGATTATATCGCTCAAAGTTAACTGAGGAAGCCAAGCACCCGGTCATTCTCTCCAAATCTAGTCATGTCTCTATGTTGATTCTCGACCACATACACAAGAGTCTCTTTCACAGTGGGCGAAACCATATGCTCAGTAGATTGCCACAAATGGTTTGGATTGTCTAAGCTCCATCGGTCATAAGGAGAAATGGCCTCCGTCCGTGGCCTCCGTCAAAAAAACTAAATCCTGGCCTCCGTCAGTGCGTGACTTGTAGAAAACAAAAAATCAAGGTGTGTCAACAAAAAATGAGTGATCTCCCTGAGGATGTCAGCTGATGATTCACCCTTTAGCTCGGTTGGTGTTGATCTATGGCTCTTTCGAAGTTGCCCGTGGTAGATCTGTAGTAAAACGTTACAGAGTAATGTTCACGTGTCTTGCCATCCGGCCCGTGCATATTGAAGTCGCAGATTCCCTAGATACAAGTTCCTTCATTTGTGCACTGCGTCGATTCATTGCTCACCGGGGACAAGTGAAACGTTTGCGCTCCGATAATGGCTCCAACTTCGTGGGGGGGCAATCGCGAGTTGAGAGTGGCCGTCGCTGAGTGGAATCAGGGTCAGATTCATGATTACTTGTTACAGAGAATTATCGAATGGATTTTCAATCCACCAGCAGGCTCGCACCATGGGCGAATCTATGAGAGAATGATTGGGTCGGTACGTAGAATCAGGAATACTGTCATGAAATAGCAAAGATTAGATGACGAGGATTTGAGAACGCTTTTTTGTGAAATCGAGGCTGTCTTAAATGATAGGCCCATCTCGAGAAACTCGGACCAACCAGATGACTTGGAAGCTTTGACCAAAAATCACGTTCTCTTGATGAAATGTAAACCTGTCTTACCACCTGGAGTATTCACTCAGAAAGACATCTATTCTAGAAATAGGTGGCGCCAAGTGCAGTACTTGTCTGATTTGTTTTGGCACCGTTGGGTTAAGGAATACCTTCCCGTGTTACACAAAAGACAAAAATAGAGCGATCTCAAGAGAAATCTTCAAGTTAGCGATGTTGTCTTGGTTGTAGACGAAAGATTCCCAAGAAACTCGTGGCCTATGGGTAGGGTGATTAAGGTGTTTAAGGATAGGAATGGTTTTGTGAGACAGGTTAGGGTGAAAACAGCCAATAGTGAGATGTTGAGACCAATTGACAAGTTGTCTTATTCTTGAGTGTGAACCAGTGAGTTAGACTGTGTAATGAGTGACTTTGTAGAGCTAAAGTGAGTACTTAAGGCTGAACTACCTGTTTCAAACTAGACGTAATGCGGCCATGATGCCGAGGCGCGCCGAGGATTGACACTTTGTGTCTTCCAATTACAGCCTACGCCGCACCAGTCTTTTATATTTTTAAAGATGACGACCCATTGGACCACCAAATCGCCGAGCTCAGGAACTAGGGAATTCTGCTAGGCTAAAACGGTTTCCTACGATAGAGTTTGGCACAAATACGAAAATAACACGCTGTTTAGCGCACTGCACTACGTCCTTCTGTTGCATTTCCGCATCTCCGTAATCAGAAGAAGCCCCTCCTTCTTCGTTGAAGGGCATGAATGGGCGTCACCGACGTGACCAGTTACTGTGCCTACTGTCTTTCGCCAGCCTGTTTACTTTTCGTAAATAATAAAATGCCCGGCCGATGCATTTCGCATCGAAGTGGAACATTTTCGGCATTTTTACTCGCTGTCGGAAGTTAACGAGTGCGTCATTCATTGAACATTGAAGTTTTTCTTAAAATTAATCATTTCTAAAATCTCTAACCGCGCTGTGTGGGTGACGTCTTGCCCGCGCGCTTTATGCTTGGCTTAGCGGCGCCTCAAAATGGATATCGGAGGCAGGCACCTCGCAACACGCGTGTTTGTTTACATATAGCTTTGTGACGTACGGTGTTCGGGAGTTCTGCGATGATAACCTCGTAATTTCTCAGCATTTTTTAGGGTGCATGGAACATTTGAGCAATTTAGTGGTGTCAGTTAGTCACGGATATGTCACAGTACGTACTAACCGTATATGTTTTACATACGTTTACCTATTTTGCACACAGGCGGTCGATCATTGTGAAAAATTGTGTGAATATTTATTTTTATTGAGACGTTTCAAGTGTCTATGCTTTTAAGTCTTATACGTCAATGCACGTGCGTCAAGAGCCACAAACTCAACACAATTTTATCTCTGTTATTGTTTACGCCTGAATGCGTTATTAATCAGGAAGGGGGTGCATGTAAGAGGAAGACATTTTCTTTGGGGTTCCTAAAAACACATTTCACTGACAATTTAATTGACCATTTCAATTGAAGCTCTGCATAATGGACCCCCAAAGCCCTTGACCAACTAGTCAAGGAATTCAAAGGTCTGTATATTGCTCTTTATTTAGCCGCCGATAGTTTTTATTTAGAAACAAGTCTTCATTGTTATCTTCTAAAACTAGAGACCATCCGCTGACCGCTGTGGAGACGTGCGCCGGGCCTCGAATTTGGCGCACGTCTCCACTGCGGACAGCGCTTATACTTGAACATCCTCGCGTCGCGTGCGCATATATTCCGCGGAAACTGCGGCGTCTCATCCGCGAGCAGCGCTCAGATCAACAGCAATTTGTTGATTACGATTTTTGTACACCTTTGCAGATTTACGGATACTCGATAGAATTGATGGATGTTTGACTGGAATTTGGAGCTGTATTGGGTCGTGATGGCAAATACACGATAAAGAAACTGTATCCAGTAATTCCTGCGTCTGTAAAACCGACGGATTCCCAATCAATGCAGAAACTTCCAACTCTCTGTCGTAGGAGATGCTAATGCCATTCTCATGAAGTATGTCAATGAGTTGTTGCTTTCGTGTCTTTGCAAACACCGCCATCCCGGTTGGGCAATGGCACAATGGTTGGGCATGGCGCAATGGCGCATTGAGCAATTGGCGCAATGGTTGGCGGCTATCTTGGAAAATGGACCTTATGTTGGAATTTTAGGTGGATTATTTTTACACCATTGGCTTCAGCATGGTCTGAAACATGAGAAACGACGCCATAACCTCTTTAATCGAAAAACCAAATCAATCCAATTTCTATTAGAAAAGGTATAATTTGGAGATTCTGATGGCGGCCATCTTGGAAAATGGCCGCCATTTTGAAATTTCAAGTGGCTAGGACCGTTTTCTTGTTAAGTGACCCATAGATACTGCTCATGACAATTTTCCTGCCTAGAAACACTTCCGCTCCACTATCACAGGTGAATGTCAACGAATCCTCCACACGTCTCCTCACTTATATCCTCTAACATCTATTGCGCGCGCGTTGCCGTGAACATTCTAGATCATCTGCTTCCTCAACGAGCTGTACACGTACTTCGACGACATACTGAACAACTTTGACGTATACAAGGTGGAGACGATCGGAGACGCGTACATGGTCGTCTCGGGTCTTCCTATACGAACCGACAATCACGAAGCCGAGATAGCGCTGATGGCGCTAACACTGCTCAACGCGACGGCCAAGTTCAAGATACATCACCAGCCGAATACGAAGCTGAGAATAAGAATCGGCATGCACACGGGTAAGTACGTAACACGACCACCGAGCTCACGCACAGGTGAATACAAGACACGACGCGAAGCTTATAGACACAGGTATGTGTTACAATATATATATATGGGGACATAGAATTAATGCAAATAACTGATTGAATAAAATTTTTAAAACGCAATTTATATAAATAATGAAAAAATAAACAAAATAAATAAATAAATATACTCCTGACCCTTATAATGATCTTGACTCGGGCTGCAGGTCCATGCGTAGCCGGAGTCGTTGGAACGATCATGCCAAGGTACTGCCTGTTTGGTGACGCCGTCAACACTGCTTCACGCATGGAGTCAACCGGATTACGTACGTCAACTAACGCTCGACACTTGTCTATCACTTTATTTTCACTATCTCGTTCCCTTTTCCTTTCTTCGTTGTCATTGCCACACGATATCAGCACTGAGGCAGGAAGCGACGCGCTGGCGTTAGGCGTTTGTACTGAACTAGGGGCTCTTTCCTCTAACAGTTCCTATGCTTCACTACAGCTCTAAAGATTCACGTGAGCGATGCGTTTAAAGCCATGCTGGACATGTACGGGGTGTTTACACTAGAGGAACGTGAAGCACAGTGGATCAAGGTGATTGTGAACGCAGAAGAGTGTTATAGCCATGCTTCAATTCGGTGTAGGATTTTGTGAGATGAAAGCATAAATCACTAGCTCATGCGATAGGTAGCAGTTTATTTAATCCTAGTAAGAAGTATAATAAATTATGATAAATGTAATAATATTTATTTATTATATATATATATATATAACTGTTGTAATTATAAAACATGCACAAAACCATGCATTTCATTGCTATATGGTAATGTGGTCATGTGGTGCGTGTGCGAATGTTCTAATATACAATATATGGTATAATATACAAGTTCTAACAGAGAGCGTTTATGTTACGTATCATGCAGGGTAAAGGGTTGATGACAACTTACTGGCTCACTGGCTGCATGGAAAGCTCCGACTTGGGGGCTGAGCGCCTACGTGTGACAACGCCTCAGAAACGCCTGAGTTATATATATATATCATGCACGTATATACTATCTAAATAAGTGTTGTTATGAACCATCACTGTCGGTCACATATATATATATATATATATATATATATAGACATAATTATAATCGCTCGAAATTTAATCCCGACTAACTGGACTGCATTGTGTTTTTTCAGTTACGTTTTGATTTTGTTCTTATGCTAATTTCGTTTTGGTATCCGAAATGAGAACTGTTCGTGTATCCAAGATGTGGCGCTGGCGCACGAGCACGGTGGTGCGCAAGTCCTGAGGACACCGCTGACTAGCTAATCACGGGGACTAGCTAATCACGAGGACTAGCTACTCACCAGGACTAGCTATACTCACAAGGATTAACTAATCACCAAGACTGGCCATTCAAAAGGACTAGCTACTCACCAAGACTGGCTAGTCACGAGGACTAGCTACCATCATATGGAAATTCGATAGATGGGAGGGATGGGCTGATCAGAGGAGAATGCTGGAGGTGTCTTTTACATAGCCCCGTGTTAGCTCCTACTTTAGGCGTTGTGTCTGTGTGAATTGAATGTGATCTTACTGAAATTTTTTCCCCTGCTGTCGAAATACGAAGTGTTTACTTTACAATTTTTTTCATAATGGAACGGTGTAATTTTATTGCAATATGTAAGTGATGTGTATTTTGCATATATCACGCTACACGACACATATAGTATGCATATTTACCTGTACATCCGAAATAAAATGTGTAGTGTTGTGTAGTGTAGTGTAGTATAGTACTAATTGGAAAGAATATACCGCTACGCAGAACAGACCTTTAGCCAAACGAAAATAGCCATGCTATTGGTTACATTGAAATAAGAGTAAATACGTTTTTGTGAACAAATTTCATTGCAAATTTACTAGGGTAAGTAGGCAATTTTTTTAAATCAGCGAAACCCGCCACAATGCAGAATGAAACAAGCCTATTCTTTCCTCCTAGTGGTTCCGAGGATCAATCTAACATCAGCCCCAAGAGACAAAATAATAAGAAGTGGTGGCTCCACGAGGTAGTAAACCCCCGGGTGGGTGGGGGGTTTAGAGAGCAGTCGGAGATATTTGTTATTTTTCAGAGAATGTAGTAAAAAATGCTTGCGTCGGCAAAAGTTGTTTAGAGTTGGTGAGTACCAGCAACACGCATATGTTTTGTCTGGTCGTAGGTGATGCGTGCAAATGGTTTTAGTTAATTTTGGGTATTGACTTGTATATATGTGCTGCCTCATAATCGGGTTGGTGTACCAGTGATATTAGCTGTCAGTCTTGACAACACTGTAGTTGGCTACCGAAGAGCCATACACAACTGTATATTGATATGACTATGCCATTTCATGCCAAGAGATGGAAGTATTATTTGAACTATTTTGTTCATTAGTAATATTGTAAATAACGGCTATTAACATCGTTCTAGTCACAACAATGTTATTAATGATTCAAGTTGTAAAACTTGCTCTCCTAGCTGTGGATAAATATAAATAGTAACTCTATATATAGCCTAACTTAGTGTATTATACGTAATATTGCAGGTAATTGCACCTAGCTAACTCGTCCCTAACAGTTTATATACCAGTTTGTATAATCTGTTCTTATAGCGATTCAGCTGCTTATAATTTGTCATATTTAGTTCAACATCTAAAAAATGTAGATTTGTTCGTGGTGCCTTCATGATCGTTACGTTGGTGTGATCTTATGCATAAAAAACATATAATATATAAACAAAAATATTAGATGAAAACGGTGACCTAATGTCACTTGAACAACTCAAATTAAAGTTTAATATTCAAGCAACATACTTAGATGTATTTAGAGTACATAAAGCAATACCAGTTAAATGGATAAACCAAATCAAAACTGAATTTACTTTTATTGGTGCTGGTCGATCCATTACACCAGCAGTTCACTCGCTATATAATGCACCAAAAAGCTGTAAAGAATTTTATCGAAATTTCAATAATACACAAATTACTACTCGGGTCGTCAGCAAAGATTAATGGTTTAGAGACCTAAATATTCATTTAGAAAACGAAAAATGGGAACATTTTTATCGGTTGCCGTTTCAGACTTCAATTGACACAACCATCAGGTACTTCCAGTT